GGGGGGGAGGGGAAGGGTCAACAGCCACACTCCACTGTTGCCAGGATGAGCAAGACCGAACGGGAGGAGAGCAGGGAGAAGGGCAATGGGAAGCGGAGGGGCCGGGAGAAGGGCAAGGACAGGGGCAAGAGCAAGAGCAAGAGCAAGAGCAAGAGCAAGGACAAGGGCAAGGGCAAGGGCAAGGGCAAGGAGGCCGACGGCGACGACCTGCCCTCTGACCGCGACAGGACCATGGCGCTATACGAATCGACGCCTGAGAATGGTGAGAGCAACGACGGCGACGACCAGCCGGCCAAGCCGGCCCTCGCGCCAGGCCGCTCACCGACGGCGCGGACGCCGCCGGGCCGCTCCGACTCGCCGCATCGGACCACGCCGCCGCCGTCGAGCAGCCGTGGTGAGAGCGGGAGCAGCGGTGGCCCATCGCTCCGGTTGCCTTCGGCGGGAAAGGCCAAGGCAGTGTCTGCCAAGACCACTGCGGTGTCGATCCGGCGGCCATCGCTGCCGACATCGCAACTGCCCAACTCTCGCCACGGGCGGAGCAAGTCGGGCAGCGGCAGTGGCGGGCCGTCGCGCAAGTCGGCGACCGACATCCGCCACGCCATCCGGTCGCTCTCGGCGGCGCCAGTTTTCTCGTCGCAGTGGTTTAGCATGTGCGATGCGCTCGAGTCGGTGGCAGCGGTTGCGGTCAAGGAGACCAAGGCTGTGCGCGACGGGTGCGGATCGCCAAGTGGGCGCAAAACGCTGTGGGAGCGCGACGAAGTCTGTGTACGGTTTGTGCTGGAGGAGGGCAAGCTCAATCTTGTGGTCCGCAACCTGCGCGAATTCAAGGTGATGCAGCGGAACATGGTGCTCAATCCGAGTTTCAAAACGTCGCTGGTGGGCAAGCTGAAAAAGGGTCCGATGCAGGTGGACGAGGCGCTGCGGTCGTTTGAAGACAATCTAGGCGTGGTCTTGCTGGCGTGCGTATGGGCCATCGAGGCCATGCAGACGATGGACATGCCGCTTCTGCTGCAGCACTGCGCGGAGACGATGCAGTTTGCGCTGGCCAAACCCGAGTTTGTGGCCGGCCTCGCCGAGGCGCACGAATCGGGCGTGCTCCAACAGTGCCAGGAGGCCGTTGTGCTCTCGTATCTGCTGCGAGTGCTGAGCGAGCTCGACTCGCTCGCCGAAGACCGCGTTGTCGAGCTGTTTGACGAGCTCAAGCTCATGCCGCTGATGGCGAGCTTTCTCGCAGCGCACGGCAGCGTGCTGAGCAACGCAGCCAAGGCCGACGGCGCGCAGGCGCTGGCGACGCTTGTCGAGTCGGAGGCGTTTGTCACCTCGCCCGAGGCCTTTCTTCCCGACGACGAGGCCGAGGACGCGATCCTTGCCGCCGTCAACTCGGTCATCAAGCCGATGCTCGACGCGTCACCGGCGATGGCGGCCACGCTCCGGGTCACTGCCTTGCTCACGCTTGTCGAGGGCTGGTGACGACGAAGCGCCCCTCGGGGGCTGTCAGTGGTGGAGGCGGAGCGAGGCGCCGACGTCGTTGGGCAGAACAAACATTTCGCTTGCGGCTTCTTCGGCAGCCAGCTCGGCAGAGAACATGTGCTGTAGAAAGTACGCGATGTTGTGGTTGGCCTTGACGGACCAGACGACGTCCGGGGTGCCAGTGGACGACTCGGGTGAGACCTGCGAAAACTGGGCCATGTACTGGTGGTGGTTGAGGACAAAGCTCTCGAGCTCGTTTTCGAGCGGCGTCTTGGACCTGCTCTCGTTGAGCTCCCACTGGATGATAAAGGCCTCGAGGATGAAGGCGATGACGATGTTGATGATGATGAGGGCACCGATGACGTTGAACGAGATAAAGTAGAGCCAGGCTGCTTCGGTGCCTGAGGCGGCAACGTAGCCCTCGGCAATGACGTGCCAGTTGTTGACCACCATGAGCTCAAAGAGGGTGACGTACGCATATCCAACATCGTTGAACGAGTTGAGAAAGTAGCCCGAGTCGGCAAAGACGGTACCGGCAAGGTCCGGGTTGCCGTCGTGGATGAGGCCGCCAAAGAGGGCCATGCCAAGGATGGCGTACACAAAGAACACCATAAACTGGACAACGGCGTATGTGGCGAGTGCCGGGAGCAGCTGCCAGAGCGTCGACATGAGTACCCGGTACCGCTTGATCTCGCCCATGGTGGTCCACAGGCGGATGACTCGAAGGAGAAGGAGGTAGCGGAAGACATTGTTGAAGAACGAAGAAAAGGCGAGCGAGACGACAATGTCCGAGAGAGTGAGGCTGACAAGGAGAAAGTCGAACCGGTTCCAGCCGTCAGCAAAGTAAAAGTCCGCGCCAAACGCCGAGATCTTGCACACGGCTTCGAGGAAGAAGAGGCCAGAGAAGACCATTTCCGACGTCCGCTCCTCCTGGGGAATGTGCCGCCGCTGCGAGGAGACTTCGACGGCGACGAGGACCACGTTGAGCACAATGAGTGCGTCGACAGTGTAGGCAAAGAGCCGCGACTGGACCAGGGCGCGCAAGCGCCGCATAGTAACCGACGACGAGCCTTGGACCGTGGTCCGCGAGCTTGTAGTTGTTGACGCGGTCGACCGGAGCGAGGCGAGCGAGGCAGCTCGGCCTTGGCGCGAGCTTGCGGCGCGAACCCGCGAGGCGTGCGAGAGCGCCGGGCCGAGGAGCGACGAGAGGAGCGAGGCCGTGGGCGAGGCCGTAGCGGCAAACATAGCCGGATCCCAGGTGTAGTGATGGCTCGGCGTCTCAGTCTCAATGTGCATGTTGAGCAGGTGCACGATGTTGAAGAACTGGTGCCGGTGCATGGCGCTTCCGCCCGAGGTGAGGACCCGAAAGAGGAGATGGACCTTGGCGAGCGAGAAGCGTGGGCGGAGGAGCGCCATCATGACGCACCACTGATCAATGTCGAGCGAGCCGCGACAATCAGCGTCGAGGAGGGCAAAGGCTTGCGAGAGCGCGTCGCGCTGGAGCGCCAAAGCCAGCGCCTCCTCGTCTTTCATGTGATTGCGGTACTTGTTGTAGATGACGGCAAGGACGAGCGAGGTGAGCAGGTAGGTGGCGATGCAGAGAAATACGATAAAAACGAGAGCGGCAAGACGATTCTGGGAGTAGAACGGCATCATGACGTCCGGAAAGTTGGCCGTCGTGCGGAGGACGTACATCGAGGTAAAGCCCGTCCAGAACGAGGCAAAGTAGCCGACGTCGTCCTGCAGCGGGAGAAAGAGGACGGTGCAAAAGACCGAGTAGACCGCGATGAAGAAGAAGAGCAGGACAATGACATCGAGAACAGCCGGAATGGTCCGCCGGATGTCGCGGATGGCCGACCGGATGAACTTGGAGTTGTACGAGATAAAGTAGACCCGGAGAATGCGGGTGAACCGCCACCCGTAGATGAGCCACCCGGCCATGTCCAAGGCCGTGACGAGGATGACCAGCGCAAGGCCGACGTGCTTGGGGTCCGAGCTCAGCCGCCGATCAAGCCGCACAAACGAGCCGATCCATGCCAGCTGGCCGGCAAAGACCGCCAGAGTCGCTGCCTCGATGGCGAGAAGGAGCCAGGCTGGAAACGGGGCGACGACCGCCGGCTTCTCAAAGAGCACCAAGCTGAGGTTGACCACCACCACCAGCCGCAGCATCCACTGGACCACGCCCGACTGGTAAATGACGTATCGCCGGAGCGCGCTTGCTTCCAGCGACTGTCCATAGTTGCGCCGGTGGACCGCGTCGTCGACCAGGACGCACGCCCGCAGCACGTCCATACCTCGCCCGTCAGTGGGGGCGTGTGTGTGCATGGGGAGGGGGGGGGGGAGGGAGGTGAGGTGTGGTGGGGTTGAGGAGAGTGGGAGTAGGAGAGGCACCGAGCGCGGGGCGGGCGCGGGGCGGGCGCGGGTGGAGCGATGGTTGCGTCGAGGGAGCAAGGAAGGCGGGGATAGAAGTTGGAAGGGTAGGGGGAAAGGGGGGGGGGGGAGGAGGAGGAGGAGCACGAGGTATGAGCCTTGTATTTGTGCAAATGATAGGGCGCAAGGGACATATTACTCCGCGTCGGCAGCGGCGTCGTCGGCAGCGGCGTCGTCGGCAGCGGCGTCACCGGCAGCGGCGTCGTCGGCAGCGGCGTCACCGGCAGCGGCATCGTCGCCACCAGAGGCGGCAGCGGCATCGCCGCTGAGCTTGCCGTTGAGCGAGTTGTAGTCCTCGTCCGAGAAGTCACCCTTCTTCGCCTCAAGCAGGGCAGCAGGCGTCTGGCCAGCCTCGTTGGTAGTGGCAACCGAAGCACCGGCATCCACGAGCTTGACACCAGCCGCAGCCTTGCCGGCGTTGATGGCCTGGTGCAGCGGCGTGTTGCCGCCCTCGCCAGCCTTGTTGACGTCGGCCTTGCCGGCAGCCATGATGAGGTCAAACACCGCACCCTCACCGTCCTGTATAGACACCAGACTGAGTGAGTAACCTTCTCCTGCACAACCACATCAAAGATATCATGCTTCGCCCTGCCCGCACATCACCCGCGCCCGACATGTGCCAAAAAGCGGCTCTAAGCGTAGAGACTGTGATGGAGACGCGCAAGGGGGGGGGCAGTAGAGAAGGTCGCTGTAAAGACATCCGAAAAAGGCTGCGTATTCGTAACGGCGTGATCACGCGGGGGCAAGGGGGGGGGGACACAAGCACGTACGTAGTTGGTGATGGCAAGGGAGAGGAGCTCATCGTAGTTGAGGACGTAGTTGGCGTTCTTGTCAACCTCCATGAAGATCTTGGTCTTCTTCTCGTCGTCTGTGGGGCGTAACATGGGTGAGTATGTGTGGGTGGGTGGGGGGGGGGGGGGGGGCGAACTTTGGAACGTCGCCAGGGGCCTTTGGGGTGGTTGATGGCAAAAAATGGCCTTTCTCGCATTCTCTCTCTCTCTGCCTCGCTCTCTCTCTCTCTCTCGCGCGCACGTACTGGACTCCACAGCAGAGACGACCTGCTCCTGGAACTTGGACGGGTCCTCAGCCAGCTTGGCCAGACCCTTGGACTTGAGCTTGTTAAGCTTGGCACCCATGTTGTGTATGTAAGCGTCGAGTGTAGGCGTAGATGGCCGACCATCGTCCAACAACCCCCGCGGCCGTTGCGCGCCCGGTTCGTCGGCCACTTTGACCGATTGGGGGCGGAGAAATGCGCCGACAGGCAGGCACACTCACCCCTACCCTCCGCACACTCATTCGCGCCGCTGTCAGTCGTTGCTGATGGAAGTAGTGCCTGTTCTCCAACAGACGGTCTCCTCTTGTCGCAGTTCGGCCATGGTATCCCGATCTGTTGCCAGGCTCCCGCCCGGCGAGGCAGATGGCGCAGCCGGCCCTAGGTGGCGGAGCGTTGTCGCCGCCAACTCGGGGGATGAGGCATCTGTAGAGTCGGTTGCCCTGATCTGAAGTCGGTGGTCCTGATCTGTGCGGCAAGATGAGGCGCTACGAGGACCAAGTCGAAGCAGTCGGCTGCAGCAGCCTTGACTCTGACCCAGCCATCATGACGCCATCGCTGACCAGCTTCCAGTCACGAGTCCTCTCGCGCAGGCAAGCACGCAGCTGGGCGCATGGTGCACGTTGCATCTCACTCCTCCTTTTGCGCGGAGCCGTGCACTACGCTTGGACACGAAACGGCATGCTTAATCCTGGCAACAAGGAGGCGTGTAGTCGGGAATGCTCAGGCTCGGGCTCAAGCTCGAGCTGGGGCTCGGGCTCGGGCTCCGACTTTGGCTCTAGCTCGGGCACGATCACGACTATCAAGGCGCACAGCTCCGAGACTGGGCCAACAACGCTCGAGTACGATCGATATATGTTGGTCCAGCTCCTACTGCTGTCGCTCGCGTTCTGTGTCGGCCAGATCACCGTCTTTGTCAACGTGTCCGCAGCGGTGAAGACGGCCAAGGCCATCGGCGGGGCCAAGGTGTCAACGCTCCCGCTCGGGGTGCTGCTGATGGCATCAGCGATGTCATCGGAACTTGCAGCTCGTGCCCAGGCGGCGTGGGGCCGGCGGCGGACGTTTGTGATGGCGGCGGCGATGGGCGCGATCGGCGCAGGCCTCTCGCTCACCGGCGTGGTCCGCGGCTCAATGGTGCTGTACACGCTTGGTTTTGTGCCTCAGGGTGCCACCGCTGCATTTGTTAATCAGTTTCGCTTTGCCGCTGTTGACATGGCTTCGCTCTCATTCCGCCCGTACGCGCTGGCGATGGTCATCGGCGGAGCAGTCGGCGCTGCGCTGGTCGCACCCGAGGCCGCCACCTCGGGCCGCCATCTGCTTTCCACCGAGTATGCTGGCATATATGTCATCCTCTTGTGCGTCTTTGTCATTCTGGCCGTCATCGTTGCCGTCATTGACTACACTCCATTCGCGGCTCGCAGGCCGGGATGCGAGGCCGCAGCCGCTGCCGAGACTGCGACTGAGCCATCCGCCTCAGGCGAGAATGACAGTGCTCACACTGCCGCAGTCCGGTCGCGGTGGGTCATTTTTTCCCAGCGCCAGCTGGTGGCCCCGCTTGTCGGCCAAGCCGCGGCGTACTCGGTGATGGCGGTGCTTATGGTCGGCGCACCGCTGCCGATGGACGATGCCGGGCACTCGTTCGGCGATGTGGCCCGTGTTGTCCAGGCCCACATCCTCGGCATGTTCCTGCCCTCGTGGTTTGTCACTGGCTTTCTCATCCGCTCCTTCGGCCTCCACACGGTGGCACTGGGCGGAATGGCGGTCCTGGCCGCTGGCGCTGGCCTGCTGCTACTCGGCTCAAGCATGGCCATCTTTGTCACCGCCCTCGCTGTCATCGGCGTCGGCTGGAACTTTGCCTTTATTGCTTCGACCCAGCTCGTCACCCTCGCCTACACTCCAGCAGAGCGGTACGTGGTGCTCGGCATCAACGATTTTGTGGTCTTTTCCTCACCGGCCTCGCGCTCCTCGGCACCGGATTCCTAATTGTCGCCACCACGTGGCCATTTGTTGTCATCCTCTCCCTCACTATTCTCGTCGCCGCCAGCGGCGCACTGGCTGCCAACGGCATGCACCATCACTATATTGAGTCTTAGCTCGCCCTCTTGCGGCTCTTGCCCTACCCTCCATTGCAATGCGACGATGCGTTGCGCACCGCCGGTCGCATCTGGAGCCGACAACTCTCAGCCCTTGCAGTTGTGCGCGTGATTGGCAGTACTGGTGCGACCAGGCCGCCCAGCTCATCCGCCTGCTCGCCTTTGACAAGAACAAGGTCACCGTCGCCATCCGCATCTATCCGCACATCGCCGACCGGGGCAACTTTGAGGACGTCGTCCTCGATGCTCTCGACTTTTCCTCGTCCAAGGACCAGGTCAAGGAGGAGCTCCGGATCTGACCTGGTTTACCGTCGTTTCGCTGGCTAGTTAACATACCCCCCCCTCTCGACCTTGAGGGTATTACGGCATATTCTTGAGATATACTCGCCTCTCGGGGCTGTGCCAGTAGTGATGACCTCGATTGTCACTGTGCGATTGTCCTGCGGGCAAACGCTCATACGCTGCCTCCACGAGTCTCGGACTCCCCACACCGTGTAGGCGACCAACATCGGCACAGTGACAGACTCTCAAACAGTGCGACGGGGAAAGAGGATGAGATGGGTGAAGGGGGAGGTGAGCGGAGAGTACGAAAAGATGGCGGATAGCATACGATGCGATGAGGCGGATCGGATCCGGCCGGGTGGGCTGGGTGCGGGCGTGGAGGTTGCCGAGGAAGGATGGTCCCAAGTTGGCCGGATCCCACCAGCGCCACCCAGTCACAGTCACGTCGACACCCCACTCTCCCCCTCTCCCCAAACATGTTCCGCATTACCCCGATGGCCAGCACGCTCACGCGCGCGTTCACGACCGCCTCTGCGGCGCTTGCCCCCGAGGCAGTTGGCGTTGTCAAGTGGTTCAACTCCACCAAGGGCTTTGGCTTTATCGAGGTCGAGGGCGCCAACGACGTCTTTGTCCACTACTCGGCCATCAAGGGCGACAACGACGGCTTCCGCACCCTCATCGAGGGCCAGGAGGTCGAGTTCGACATCTCCCCGAGTACGCACCCTCCCTCCCCCCCCTCCTCCCGCTCTCCCCCTCCCCCTTCTCCTCCTTCTTCTTTGCACCTGTTTGCCTCTTCTTGCCCCTCCCCCCCCTTGCCACCCCGTGCCGCCCCTCCTGGCGAGAGCCCACCATCCCGTCCCGCATCCTGCCGCGTCGCATTCTCGCAACCCCCCCCCTTCCACATACACGCACAAACCCATGCACACTTGAACTGGCGCACCCCATCCACTTACCCACTCACCCCTCCCTCCTCTCCCTCGTTTCTCTGTCGTATACAGCTGAGCGTGGCCCGCAGGCCCAGAACGTGACGGTCGTCCACGCGGACTGGTAATATGGCTGCCGACGGCAGGAGCGAACCTGGCTGGGACTGGATGGGACGGAGCAGGGTGGGCATTGTCCTCCTCTTTCTCTCTTCCTCTCTCCCCCCTCCCCCTTCGCCGCTCTCCCGTCTCCTGCCGCCCCCCCCTTCCGCCCATCAACTACGCGCTTGCTGATGCTGCTGTCCAAGCACATGCTCCTTCCGACCTCGATCTGTTCTGCTCTGCTTTGCTCTGCCGACAATGTCAACGTGGGTTGCTTCTTGAATTAACATTATCCGCCATGGCCAGCACTAAGCTTTCCCTTGGCCCCGCTAGGCCAAAGGATCCAGCGCGTCGTCGTACGACAAGCACAACGACGAGTCGGAGAGCGAGGCCCGGCTCAGCGCGAGGCCGCGGACAGCATCAAGCGCGCCGAGATGGTCCAGAGCGAGCCGGGTGGCCAGGAGCGGAAAGCCGTGGTGAGCCAGCGGCGACGGCTCCGGCTCGACAACCGCAAGCACCGTCGCCTTGCCACAGCGGATGACGTCGCCCGGCTTGACGATGACCGGAGAGCCGGGAACAACGCGGGTCCACTCGATGCTCGACGGGTGGTACGTCGACGTTCCCGTCCACAGGCCTCCCACAAAGGCGGCGACAGGGTCAAAGTTGGTCGAGACCCAGGTGCCGGTCGACGACATGTCGACCAGCACAAACGAGCCCAGCTCGGACTGGTACTGGATCTGGGCGTGCGCTCGCGAGAGATTGTTCTCGGCATCATGGATGACCAGCGTCGAAAGCAGCCGGTGCCGGCCCACCACGCAGCCAAGATCATTGACGCAGATCCGCACCCCGACGTCCGGCCCGGCCGCCACCTGCAAGTCCATTCGGGGACACGGCGCCCGCCATCCGCGCGCGTCGACCAACGGCGCGCCCGGCGCCATGGTCCTTGCCTCTCCGGCAACCACCACGTCGCGAACGTAGAACACGCACGCCGCAGCCTTGAAGAACGAGCCCGGCTCCAGCCGCGCAGAGCGCGCGTCTCGCGTCCCCGCAGGCATGCCGGCGTCGCCGATGAACTCGTACTGCAGCGGCCGTGCGTCCGCCGGTGACCGCGTCGCCCGAGACGCATACGTTCCGTTGAGCGAGCCGCAGTCAAAGAGGAAGAACCCGCTTCGCTGCTGACACCACACCACCGCGCAGTGGAGCTTGGACATGGTCGGGCAAACAACAACCACGTCGGCCCGCGCCTCACGGCACGCCCGCCCCAGCACCGTCAGCCGGCCTGCCACCACCACACGCACCCCCATCCCAGTCGTCTCCACCCCATCTCCGCCCGCAGCCTCGCCATTCAGTTCCACCAGCGGCGCCGCCGTGCACTCACCCAGCACCTCCAGCACCAGCACCGCCTCATCGCCATCGCTGCCATCGCCTTCACCGCCCACGCCCCATCCCCGACTCGGGCTCCGACTCTGGCTCCGGCTCTGGCCTCGGCTTCGACTCTGGCTCCGGCTCCGGTTCCGACTCTGGCTCCGACTCTGACTCCGACTGCGACTTGTCCGCCCCTGTCGCTCTCGCTGGTCGCCTCGGTCCTGCCCGCACCCACCCCTGCTCGAGCAACCGCAGGTGGCCGCCTCCCTGGCGGGCGCACTCCGCGGCGACGCATGAGCAGACATACTTTCTCCACAGCAACCGGTAGCACCTTATAGGTGGGTACGTATGAGCGAGAGGTGTTTGTCTGTGTCGATGATGGTAGGGTAGGTTTTTTTTTTTTTTTT